AACAAGGAAAGACGACATGTTGATTGAACCTGTGGGAGAAACGAAAGACTGAAGATGTTCCAGAGGAAGAAACCTACGTAGGAAAGAGGTCTAGAATGGGGATGGAGGACACTGACTTGATGGAAAATGACCCCGAAAAGAAGGGAGATCCTCAGACATCAGGGGAAGAGTTAGAGATTCCTGGAAGACCACCCCGGAATTTGTCAAGACATGGACCTGGTTACCTGAATCTAGATAGGGAGAAACAAAAGTGGATTCAACAGGTACACCACCGACTTGGACATCCGGATGCCGACACGTTTGTTCGTTTTCTTCGATCCACGAACGCAGAGTCGGAGTTGACGGACGCCGCCCGTGATTACCAGTGTGATGCATGTTCAGAGTCCCGGAAAGGCTTCGATCTTTCAAAGGTTGGGGGGATACATGAGAATCTTGGTTTTAATGACACCATCGGTATGGATGGTGCAGTGTGGACCAATGCTCAGGGAACCCAATTCCATTTCACGCACATTATCGATGAAGGGACACTGTTTCATGTAGCCCGACCATGTGGTAGTGATTCGAGTGCACAATGGAATCTGCTAGAAGATCACTGGTTTAGTTGGGCAGGACCTCCAAAGACCATTTATGTGGACCCCGCAAAAGAATATTTGAGCGAGGCATGGATGACGCGAATACAAGAACTAGGGATCACCCTGAAAGTTTCGGCCCGTGAATCACATTGGCAACTAGGCAGGGTGGAGGCCCATGGATCCATCCTGAAGGGAATGTTGACACGTATGGATCTAGAGGTACCAATCCTAGAAGAGGAGTCATTCAAACGAGCCATAGTCCAAGCATGCCATGCGAAAAACTCATTAACACGGAAATCTGGGTACTCACCCGAACAAGCGGTTTTGGGGTGTGCGACCAGACTACCGGGTTCCGTTACTTCAGATGATAGTGCACTGAGTCATGAAAGAGCGCTAGATGAGGGCCCCCATAAGTTCAAAGAAGCTTTAGACCTCCGAGAATCCGCACGAAGAGCTTTCATTTCCTTGGACAATTCAAACAGTCTAAGACGGATCATGTTGCGGAGAAGTAGACCGGTTAGGGAGAATTTTGAGGTGGGGGACTTGGTTTTGTATTGGAAACGAAAAGGTGGAAACATGAGACGGGAACGAGGACAGTGGTTTGGACCTGCTCGTGTCGCCCTTGTGGAAAGTAGGAAGGTGATATGGTTGGTGCACGCCCATCGTCTAGTTCGAGCCAGTCCACAACAGTTGCGTGCAGCTTCACTTAGGGAATGGAAGATGATCAAAGACACCGAAGAGGTTAGAGTACCAGCCCCTGATTGGGCTCGTAGGATAGGTCACCAGGACTTGTGCGAGCTTGATCCAGATGATCTTCCTGAACCGAGTGAACCCGATGTCGAGCGACCTGATCCCGGCGAGACACCTGGGGAACCAGAAGATGTTTTGGTTCCTGAGCCTGAAGAAGAAGTATCTGCTCCGACTAGAAAACCTTCCATGAACGTTGAGGTAGACGGCACCGATGTTCCGGTTCCTGAGGATGATGAATTATTTGGGGATACCATTTTCTTTCAGGAGGTTGATCAGGGACGGTGTTGGGAAATAGATGTGACACCTGCCTGTGAGATCGAAAGTGCTGGTGGAACACCAGATGCCCTGATTTTGGCCGCTGTTTCTGAACGAAAGAAGAGAACGGAGATCAAGTTGAAGGAGTTGTCCCAGGAAGATCAGAAACGGTTTGCAGTGGCCAAGCATAAGGAACTTGGCGCCTGGTTGCAGCACAAGACAATTCGAAGAGTATCCCAGGGCAAGATCCCCGACAATGCCATCATGCGTTGCCGATGGCTGTATGTTTGGAAGACAGCATCCGGAGACGAATTACCTACGGATCTGTCGTCTGAAGGAAAGAAAGCCAAGGCCCGGTTGATTGTTATAGGTTGGGAGGACCCTGACTTGGACCAGGTGATCAATGATGCACCAACTCTCTCGAAGGATGGAAGGACCGTTTTGCTTCAAGCAGTTGCCAGTCATCAATGGCCTTTGATTTCTTTTGATATCTCAACTGCTTTTCTTCATGGAAAAGGTGACGGTCGACCCCTAGGTCTAGTTCCGGTTCCAGAAATGCGTGAGGCCCTGAACATGTCAGAGACAGACCAGGTGCAACTGGATGGAGGAGCATATGGCAGGATAGATGCTCCCTTTCTTTGGTTCTGTGAGTTTAGGGATGAACTAAAACGCCAAGGATGTCGACAATCACCTCTCGATCCCTGCGTTTTTACCTACCACTCCCAGGATGGTCTGGAAGGCTGTCTTGGGATTCACGTTGACGACGGCATTGGCGGAGGCAGTCCAAAGTTTATGGACATGCTACGTAGGGTAGAGAAGAAATTTAAGTTTGGGGCTTTTGAAGAAGGAGAATTCACCTATACCGGGATTCATTTTAGACAGTGGGATGATGGATCGATTGAGTACGACCAGGTTCCCTACATCGAGAAGATACAACCCATAGCTCTTGGGAAGGGACGCAAAGAAGATCCTGAATCCTTGATTTCAGAAGGTGAAAGGACCGCTTTCAGAAGCCTCATTGGAGCACTCCAATATGCAGCAGTACATAGCAGGCCAGATCTAGCAGCCAAAGTAGGAGAGTTGCAGAGTGAGGTCACTAGGGCACAGGTAAAACATCTAGTTTTGGGGAACAAAGTGCTGACAGAGGCCAAGCAGAATCGTGTTTCATTGATGGTGTTACCGATCCAGCCCGAGAGAGTGACCTACTGTGCATTCTCGGATGCCTCCTTTTCATGCATCAAACATACCACGGCACAACAAGGAACCATAATCTTTGCCACGACACCCGAACTTTTGGAAAATAAGAGGTCTGTGGTAGCTCCAGTCGCCTGGTATAGTAAGAAGATTCCTAGAGTTGTCAGAAGTACACTTGGTGCAGAGGCAGCAGCACTGAGCAATTCAGTCGACCGACTTTTGTGGCTCCGGATCCTGTGGGCAACAATCCTCGACCCGGACTGTGATTGGAAACATCCTGAGGTTTTGTTGAAGAGCCAGAATCAAGCAGGCCTAGTCACCGACTGTAAATCAGCCTACGACCTTTTGACACGAACAGCGTTGCCACAGTGTTCTGAACACAGGACGACTATAGAGTGTCTGCTGATTCGCGAGAGGCTTCGTGATAATGCCACCGTCAGGTGGGTTTGCTCACAAGCGATGTTAGCCGACTGCTTGACGAAGACAATGGACAGCAGTGCTTTGAGAGAGTGTTTAAGAACTGGCAAATACATCCTTCGGGACGAAAACCACACGTTGAAAGAACGGCTAACTGCTCGGGAGCGACTGAAATGGATCAAGCAGCATGGATCGACAACAACTCGATCATCCGAAGAAGCCATGTTGACTGAACAGATCGGCAAATCTATGCATGAGGAGGATTTTTGGAAAATGGGTCCAAAGGGAGAACTCATTCGGGTGCACGTGAAACCAAGATATCAGTTGTTTTCACCTGTCGGGGTTGTTGACTGTCCTGTTGACTTGAGAAAACTCGAAGTTTTTAGGGACACCTACCAACAGGGGTGTGCAGGAGAACGCAGCTACTGGGTGGGAACATGTGCACATCGAAAGACTTCCTTCCCATGGACCGGCGAGACAGTCTTTTACAAAATAAAAGAGTAAAGGGTGTGTGAAGCTCACAAGCTTACCAATCAGATGTCTCGCATGACGACCTTTTGATCGAACCTACCGAAAGGGTGGGTGGGTGGACCGAACATCGTCGACAAAGAGCGAGGCCGCTTGGACAAGAGGACAGGGTTTCCCCAAGGTTAGGATCATTCAACTCCAGGGTGAGATTAACAATATATATATATATGCGTACTCCTGGGGCATGGAGAATTCAAACCTCAGGAAAACACTGCAAAACATGCTTTCCAACAACCCTAGACCCGCCTATGTCTATGGTGGTGCTTTCCGGTCCTTCTGACTCCTATCGCCAAGTTCAGCAGCTTTGGTCGAAGACAGCTGGAGTAGACAACTTCTGAACTCCTTCTGAAAATTGTTCCGATTGAAAGGCAAAGAAGGCTTGGCATTGTCCGCACTCTCCTCGTTGGGTTGATTTGTGACTTTCCGTGGTGGAATCGCATCTGCCTTGCAAGGAAGGCTTGGAAGGGGATATTAGACAACGACAGAGACCTGGAGCACCAAAAGTCACCTTCTTATTTAAACTCTGTCAGGTTGAAACACAAATGCACTTTAAATTCACCTCGAAGATCCTCCAACTTAAAGTGGTCTTGTGCAGACTAGCAACGCCGGAGACTTGCTCCTTGATGCAGTGCAGCTGCACCCGGCAGCCCTGAGTGGAAGGAAATCTTCCAAGAAATCAAAGATGATTAGACTAAATATATGTCTTGTAAAGCTGCATTGCGCCCTAAATTAACATAAGCCTTAAACTAAAATCCGCCGACACCGAAGGTGCTGGCGCATGTGTATCCGGATGGCATAGTCAATCGCAAGATTTCAGCTTTAGCAGGGGGCCTATTATTCGGGCAAGAAACCTGAGCTTTTGAAGGTTGTTGAAAATCGAGTGCAAACAACGTCGTAAATAACTGCATTTGATGAAGGTTTTGGGACGTGCAAATTCTTGAGGCGTTCTTGAAAAAGTGAAAAACGTTGGATGATTGAAGATTTGATCAAAAATAGCCAGGCAGAACCGGCATAAACAAACATCAGCGGCTTCATGGTACGGCTCTAGCTGGCTAGGGGGTCGTATTAGCCAGGTAGAGCCAGGGACGGTGGGACACCAGTACAACTATACTGTACTACTGCCCTGTTGATACCACGGCAAACTAGGAACTCATATGCTTCGATGCTGCCAAAATGACATTTCTCCCGGTGCGGGCGGACCCAGCCCCGAAGCGGCGCAAATAGCATTGTATGAATTCTATGCTTATGTTTTTGCATCCATTCATAAATTACATAACTTTCAACTCATCGCGCTGCTGATACGTGCAATGCCTGTATACTCGCGTAGGACACATCCGCACAATGCCGCAGAGCTTCTGCATCACCCAAAAGGATGGTCTCACTTGCTTTGTGAAAGTCGAGGGCGGTGGCAGGGCAGCCCTGACAGCACTCAACAGAAGTTGAACGGCCCCTCTCGAGCAGCGTGACTCAGTACCACTGAAAACCCAACGAAACACATGCGATGACCACTAACTGAATCTGCCTGGCAACCAAGTCGCGGTCTCAGCTCCCAGATACCAAAGCAAGATACAGTTCAGCTTCCTGCAAAATGGCCGCACCCACAATCAAATGCTACTAAAGTCACAGGTGTTTCAAAACTTCTAACACGATCAAAACACCGCTACACAACACGATTATGCGGCAGGTCAGAAACAAGGCTGCCTGTGAACCATGCAAACTATGCCCTCTCCTGTCTTCCCTTCGTGTGATGCGTCGCAAGCACAAAGATCCATCCACCCCCTTGCAAGCCAACTGCAAAAGGCACACCCCTTCGGTCCAGTCAGGCCACATGCGACAGTATGACTTTCAGACAGACGTACATCACGTGGTGTGAAAAATATGTGACAAGCAAGGCTGGCGGCACCGCCAGCACCAAGAGCGACATGCTGATGCTGGGGATGTCAAATGCACCCATGGCGCTGAGATCAGCACCACACCTCAGCAGGAATGAAATCGAGGGGGAAAGGACATCTGGTTGCGTCATGAAATGTGCAATAGCAACGAGTTTTAAGTTCCTGCAGGTGATCTTCACGATGGTTCACAAAACATGGATAGATTGACTGGGAATTGGATGAAACACTCGGAATGCAATGGGACAGAACAATATGATTCAATGATGTTTCTGATATGAGACGTGGAAATATGAAATGAGAGGCAGTAGAGTCTGATTAAAGTTAGGTGCCAAGTGATAGAAGAAACCACCTGCAAAGTCATGACCTTAATCCAAGGGAGGTCAAACTCAAGTAGAAAGGCCACATATGCAAGAAGAAATCTTTGATGCTCTGCATACAAGAAGAAAAGTAGATGTTGTGCTACTTGTAATGAGATAGAAAGACCTGGGACAATCAAACAGTCGAAGCAAAGCAGCTTCAAAGGTTCAAATCTGTTCACGCGCCGAACGGGATTCCTATTGGCGCGAAGGGACGTCATCAACTCCGCAGGGTACTTCTGTAAGCAGCTGAAGGAGTCTGTGTCCCAAATGGTGACGCGCCTGGCCCGGGAAAAAGGCCGCGTGACCCGGGAATCGCAGTGGCGACAATCGCAGAGGCAGGGGGCACTTGTGGGCCGACAAGGCAAACACGGCCGAAGTCTTCTCGCAGAAGGCCAAGGCAACGACCATCTGGTCAGGTGTCTTTGGCAGGTTAAGCACAAAAAGGATTGAAAAAAGAAACAAAGAAAAATCCATTCTGTCAGGCCAAAGTTCTTCGGAAGTTACTTTGGTCACGAAGAGTTCCAACCTCTTCGCCACATGGAAGACTCCGCACGAGCATCCCTGTCGTTGTTGCAGCTTATCATGAATAAACGTGCAATAAAACAGAGTACAATGGCAAAATGTTCAAGAACATATGATTGCATCCCCCACAATGTTGGAAGAGCGGCTTGAAATTCAGAATCACCCACCCCGCTGTCTCCTACCCAAAAAGGAAAGCTTCGCAGGTACCAGGTACAATCATCATGCCCAGCATTTTTCCCGGGCAGGTCCCAACCTGTTTCCAGCTCAAAAACAGCCACTGAGCCCACATCCAACCCAGTCCACAGCTGCAAGCCCGAGTCCTGCAAGCATGGTCACTACCGAATAACAAATATTAGTGTCAAAACTCTCACTATCTCCATCCGCCCCGTGAACCTGATTGGGGAATTGACTGTGATATTTGGAGCTTCCCATGCCTGGGGCACTACCACCAATGAGCTGGCAGCCACTGGCTGATCCGAACCTTACATCCACTACATCCACAGACGCATCCAAAGGACTCATCCAAGGCCCGTGATAATTAAAGAGTTATAGACTGTGCAAACCTCATGGACACAGAACCTGAGAGAGGTCACTGGGCAAATGGAACTCCCGTCGGAGGTCACCATCAGCAAGGTTCCAACCTGGAACAGGCGGTTGTGTTCAGCGGTGATGTTGAAGCATCTTTCAGTTTCACCATCACCAGCTCTACAACGGCCGACATTGAGGCTCCAGCAAAGACACCGAGAAGAGGTCCCAGCGAAAAGGTAATCTTTGTGAAGATGGAGCGCCTGTAGCAGCCAAGCATAGACTAAACGCACACGCGAATGTCAGGAAGAAAGTGCCACAAAACAAGGAGAATGACCAATGCAATGCCTGCTCCTTCAGCTCTTTATAGTCAAAAATCCATTGATGTACTTAGAAGATCTTAGAAGGCCAAACTAGGAAAAAAGTCAACTGCACAAAGCAAAAGCACACAGGTAGAGGTGCTGACGAGAACGCTTCTAGCCAATGGGCCGGGCTTCTTTCCGCTCAAGTCTTCCTGAACAGCCACCCTACATTCGCTTGTCCATGTGTCAGATTTCAGGGAGGAAGGCGAGCTGGCACTGCAGTCTTGGGGGGTGTGCTTGACAAACACCTTTAGACTGCCCGACATGCTGGTCCTCCTCCTCAATCTGCAATTGCCTGCGAGGATGCACACCGCCACCCTCCAGGCTGAAGATCAGAACAGCACCGTCCTCACGTGACAGCTATGACACGTATGCACAAAACCCTGGATCAGTTGCAATGAAGCACCAAGCACCAACTACCGCGCATGTCTTCTGCACTTGTCTTCCGCACTTTTGAGCAGCTGAGGGATCGTGACAGCCTTCCTGTCCTCCACTAACTTCTGGCTGGTTCTCATGATCAATGCTGGTTCACGTATTATCACATCAAGACGTCCGCGCGAGAGATCCACAAGTTCAAGGACGGTGTTGACGTGCACGGTAATCCCGTCGTTCTTCCTCACATCAATCCTAGCACTCCATGGGTTCCTCAAATCCTAGCCCTTATGGCTTGGATGATCCGAGCACCACGAAAATCTCCACCTCTCCTTTGACGCCGTAGTCCGTCCAGGTTCGGCCTCCGTCCAACTGGTTCCCTTTGAATATCAACCTCTGCCTCTCCACTTCGAAGCCCTTCTCATCCCGCACCAACTCCTTAAGCTTGTCAACATCATCATTCTCATTCACTTCACATTTGACCGCTTTACCTTCAGCAAACTTCACCGTCACCTTCATGGCAACAAGGCGGATCCCTCTTGAGCCCACTTCGCAAATCAAGCCTTTGGTCAACAGGCAACAGTTTGTTCATGGTAAAATCAAAGTCTCAACCCTGGGGAACTTTGACAATGTGACCATCTCTGAGCAAATCCAAGATTTCCAAATGCTCTAAGTGCATCTTCCGCCCTCAAAAACTTCTAGTCTCCTGGCAACCAACTGCCATACGCCGTGAAGAAGATGAGGAATCTGCCTGCTGCAGCTACAGTCGCTATCGCCGTTTGTTGCAGCTAGGGTGTTTGCTGCGCACCTCCAAGGAGAAGCTGGTCATTGGCAAATGGGTCCTGTAGCGCTCAAATCAGCTGAGCAAGTCGCACCAACGGGCACGACCGCAGGTCCCCGCCAGGTCCCACAGGTCCTCAGGGCAGAGGTGACCGAGTCCTGCGGCGCTTGTAAGAACCAAAAAACGCTTTAAGCCGTCAAGTATACCGATTTCGATTTCATGCTTTCATCAGGGGATTCAGTTGGCGAACGTCAACAATGGCAACGCTGCCAGTCAGTTCAAGGGGCTTTTTCCTTAGCAGACCTAATCATCAGCTTTGCACCATCGCAGTCTCGAAACGTGATTCATTTCTTGAGACAGGGGTGAGCATACACTAAACGCATCAGACTCTTCCATCACCAGGTAAAAAACACAAGGCACATGGGCAACCATTGCTGTCCTCCGTCAAGTCGTACACAAGGCTTTATTAGAAGAATACTCTTGTATTGAATGGTTGCCCCGGCTCTTCAGCCACAGAAGTTGTGTTGGCAGTTTGGCATCAAAAAGTAACTCGAGCACACGTGGACAGTTGTTAAATGAAACCTCGCGCCAACAGCAACACGCTTTCAAATCTTACATTGACATTGATGCTTCTGAGAAGGCACACTAATCTCTCATTGACGTGCCTCTTCTTGAATTAAAGGGAAATCTTCGGCCAAAGGGGCCGGACCGCATCTCGCAATCAGGCTGAGCCAGCCAGGAAAAAAACCGTGTCACGATGGCAAAGCTACTGCTTGTCCATAAGAATCAACTACGCTTCAACTCTGCCCAAAAAAAATATTCCCTCATAATCATATTCCGTCTCTAAAACTGAGATGCTGCACGTGGCTGGAACTGAACCGCGGGTGCATCATGGATCCACAATTCTCAGAATCCGCACCACCTGACAAGCACGCACGGGGCCGGCAAATGCCGCCAAGGGCCAAAGGAGACATGCAAATGCCCGGGGCCTTCGTTCTGCAAATGGGACATCTCCGGTCGGTGTGGCTCACACCCACGGCGCACAAATGGCAAACGCAGCGATGTCCGCATGGAGTGAAGGCATAGCGCCGCGGCTGCGCCATGCACACGACGCCTTGGTGTCGAAATGAGTGGGCGAAACGCGCGAGTGCCGGCACCGAATTGCAAAACGCGGAGCTGTTTGAAACAATCCCTCCACCTGATAGTTTCTAGCTACTAGTAACTAGTAGCTTCTTGTTACTAGTAGCGATGGCCTCCAACCTAATAGCGATGGCCTCCACCTAGTAGTTTCTAGCTACTACTGGACTGTAAGCCTCCTGCAATCACTGCCATTCTTTCGGCCCTCTTGGGAAGCCAAAAGTGTCAAGGTCTCATCCAACTGTTCCTGCAAGCGCTGGACCTGGCCATCAGAAACTAGCCATCAGGACATCCTCAAGCTGTCTGCTGGGTGCTCGCGAAATTGGCTATGCCATCTATTTTGTCACAAGGGTCACAGTCCCACATCAGCCCACGTGAGGTCTAAACAACAAACAGGCCTCCAGCTCCAGCTCACCTACAGGTACAGGCAGCGTGTGAGCACAAACCCGGGCACAAATCATGATATTATACTTCAATTGGAAACGCAAGATCAATTTAACCCCCCATTAGTTTGGCCAGATGCTTTCCTGCAATACCAACGACATTGGAAAATAGACCTTCCGGGTTGTTCACTTTGGGAAAGCACGTGGAGAGCCCTAAAAGCAGCTCCTTCAAAGTCATTTTTCTCGTTGAAAATCTACAAGTGAAACTGTTGAGCGTTTGAAGGGGTGCCTTGTTGCAGAAACTAACGCCCTAGTTCCCGGCCGGGCTATCAAAAAGAAAATAAACATATATCAAAAATACCTGAAAGGGGGGGAACGAAAGCCAGCAGCCGCCAGACGAGAGGGTCAAAAGAAGAAACCATCTAAGCAACACATGCTTACTACGATGGCAGGCACTGTATGCTTCAACATGAGTGTCACCAAGCGTCATCCTAAAATATTGCATAGATCCGTGGCTATAACATGTCCTTAAAACAGCACCAATCTCTTCACTTGCTATCTACACGGGCCCTTTTTCTGATAGCAACTTGTCGCTGCCAACCAACTACTATACTTGCCCCAATACATCCAACCAGACTTCTCTGAAAGGATGACTAGGAGGATGGCAGTAACTATATGCCTCAGCATTGGTGTCACCAACCGTCATCCAAAAATATTCCACAGATCCGTGACTATAACCCATCCTCAAAGAGCAATCTCTTCACCCCACCAAGTTGCTATCTACACGGGCCCCTTTTCTGATAGGCACTCGTCGCTGCCAACCAACTACCATACTGGCCCCAATACATCCAACCAGACCTCTCAAGCAAAATGTAGAGACTAGGATGGTTTCTCTGTACATGGGTGCCTGTCTCCACTCCAGTGCTCAATGCCTGGCCTCCACAGCTCTTCGTGATGCTAATGATGCACTACTCGGCTTCCGTTGCATCACTCGCATCACCAGACCCCATTTTCACTGCTTTTCTGACCCTCGCTTTGGAGCGCTCTCCCCAGGCAAGCTCCGGGTTCACCCTCTCAAATGGTGCCTTTTCGCCTCCTACCCCCCCCACACCCCCTTAACTCACTTCGTTCGGTCTAAAAGCTCAAGTCTAGCCTGTCGGCTGGCTTTCGTAAAAATTTCTATGTCCTATCAAAAAGAAAATTAATTTGTATCAAAAACAAAATATCTCTCACAAAGAGCTGCGCCTGCCACTGCAAACCGCCTTGGCAGCGCTGCGCGATGTGAATCTGGATGTGCAGATTTCGTGGCGCACGCAGCACTTTGAGCATCTCCAGTAGCAGATTTCGTGGCAGGGGCAGCACTTTGTGCACTGGAACTGCAGATTTCGCATCGGGCGCAGCGCCTTGAGCACCTCCACTACCAGATTTCGTGGCAGGAGCGGCACTTTGTGCACTGGAACTGCAGATTTCGTGGCAGGCGCAGCACTTTGAACACCTCCAGTAGCAGATTTCGTGGCAAGAGCGGCGCTTTGCGCATTGGAAGCGCAGGTTTCGTGGCAGGCACAGCGCCGGTAGCAGGTTTCGTGGCAGGAGCGGCACTTTGTACACAGCACTTTGAGCACCTTCAGTTTGCAGGGCTCGTGGCATGCACTGGAACTGCAGATTTCATGGCAGCCGCAGCACTTCGTGAACCTCGAAGTGCAGATGGCGTGAACCTTTGTCTACAGGCGCAGACTTCGTGGCAAGCGCAGCGATTGCGAACCTTGAAGCGCAGTTTGCGTGGCGTTTGCAAAATTCTGTGGATCTCAAGACCTGTGAAAAGAGCTCTTGATATCTCTGGATCTGAACATCTTTCTACACCCTCTGCAAGTATAGACCCCTAGAACTTATATAGATTTCAACACCTCCCTGGATCTCAAGACTCGAGGCCTCTAAACCTCCATCTTTAGGTCTGTGGGTTTCTAGCCCTCTACACCTACAGATCCGTCTGGATCTCCAGGCCTCTGGATCTTTGTAGATGTAGACCTCTCTGCATCTCAACCGTGACCTCTCTGAATTTCACCATGGCTGACAAAACCACAAGACCTGTGGATGGCTCACAAAAGGTCTGCTATGTTGGAATGACACCTTCCTCTTCTAAAGTTTATGCTGACAACAGGTTTGCTCCTGTAAATTTTGCCCTCGCATGGCTCACAAAAGGTCTACTGCTCCTCTGCTACCTTGGCGTGGCACCTAAAGTTTATCCCCGGGTGGCTCACAAAAGGTCTACGTTGGAATAGCAAATTCTACAACAAAGGCCTGCTACGTTGGAATGGCAACTTCTTCCTCTAAGTTTTAACCTCGCAAGGCTAACAAAAGGTCTGCAACGTTGGAATGGCTCCTTCCTCTTCAAAATTTCGCCCTCAGGTGGCTCACAAAAGGCTTGCTGCCTTGGAATGGCACTTTCTTCGTCTAAATTTTATATACCGTCAGGGTGGCTCACAAAAAAGGTCTGCTACGTCTGGCGATAAAAGGTCTGCTACGGTGCTTCACAGGATGTATGACCAGATTTCCAAATCACCTTGAACGCGTCTTGCTACAGACCCAAGGACCCGAAGACCAGGACGAAGGACCAAAGGACCAGAGGACCAAAGGACCAGAGGACCAGGGACCAGAGGGACCAAGGGACCAGGGGACCAAGGGACCAGGACAAAGGGAGCAAAGGACCAAGCGACCAGGGAACCAGCAGACCAGGACCAAAGCAGTAGGGGAAATCTTATTTTTGATACGAATTAATGTTCTTTTTGATAGGAATCAATTTTCTTTTTGATAGGTATCCCATTAGTTTCCACATCTTACCTTCTTCCCATACTTGGCAGGGCTTTGCGCCCACAAAAGCTCTTTGTCGAGGCACTGATCGTGCTCTTGCAGGTGCAGGAGGGTTTGTCGTCATGCCTTCCTAGGTCGAGATCCACTGATGAAACAAAAACTGATGGACTGCACAGCACAAACCGGTTCAACATCGCATCAACGTGCCATCACTTCAGCCATACCTAAAAAGTGTCAACTCACTCTAGTACAAACATGCGAAACAATCTGCACATCTCTGCCATGCGGCCCCCGTTCTCTTCCACGACTCCTGCACGAGAGGTCGAAACACCCTCGTTCAACTTCTGGGTTGCTTGCTGTTTCGGGCCACAGTCGAAACTCCAAGCCTGAGAGCTTCTCAGCCAGAAAGG